CGGGAATCTGTGCTCCCCACAAAGCAGTTACAGAGCAATGCAATTGTCACAATGGCAGCAGAAAACGCTCCATGGATTAAAGGGGTTAGAAGTGTGAGGTGTGGATAAACACGTCATATGAATAAGGACAGACTTCATTCCAAAGAAGATCTGGACTGAGGCTTTTAAGGTCTCTTCCATTTCTTTAACTTTTACTACATGACGCCTCTTTGTGACATGCCCACAGGCTGTAGGAAGCCCCTAAGAAGACTGAGACTCGGGACATTTTGCTCAATCGGTGCTTCCCTGGTCTGTGAATTAGATGTCAGCAGCCAGTTACGCTGGTGAAAGGACAGAACTGGAGCAGGCCAGGCGCCTTTGCTCCCGGAGAAGGGCATTTGCTCTGTTTTGGGCGTAAGGTTGTGCTATCCTGTTGGGAGACTGCTAAGATGACAGCTGTCAAAAGATCAACAGAATAAAACCATTGCATGAAATGTAAAGTTGATAGATCGTCTCATAGTGTACAATGGTGGGATGTTTTAAGCAATATTTTTATTAAATAATAATTGGCTGTGTCTATCCTATTCCATTGGCTGACAGTTTGTTTCTGCTTTGTTTTTATTATGCAATAGTTTGACTACAAGATGTTTAATGTAAATGTGTGTTAATAATTACTTCTACCAGGGTCATCTGAACCAAACAGCTAGACATGGGGAAGTTAAGAAGCTCTCTTTGTCTTTATTTAAAAATTATTCTGTCCCATATAACTTACAAGGGCATATTTTTAATTCCCTTATCCTTTATAAATTTACACTAAACTCAGTTTCATCATTTTAAGAGTTCAGCCCATCCTAATAATACCTCCTCCAAAAAGCCATGAGACGTATTTATAAAAAGGGTGCATTCAAGTGTTTTATGGAAGCTTTACCTGCAACAATAGCTCTAAATCACAGGCCTCCATTTCCTGCCGCAGGGCAGTGGGCTCCTGTCTTAAGAGGCTGTGTTCTCCGCAGACACCTCCACTGAGGTAAGCGAGGGCCATGCCTTCTCCACGATCCAGTGTCTCAGTTCTTAATGGAATTCCAATTATTTATGCAATCGTAGTGTTTCTTAGTTTATTTCACTTATGCACTTGCTTTTCATTGAGGAGTATACATGGAACTGAGGTTTTTATATCCAGTTTAAATTCACTCCAGCATAATGAAGACGGTAATTAGAATTTTGACGGGCATTAGGATGAGGCCGTCCCTCTTGCCAGGCCGTTTCCCAGTGTAGTTCCCGTTTTCTCCCCTTGGAAATGGATCACAAAACATACTCATTGTCAGGAGCAGGAACACGTGAGTCCCCTCCTCGTCTTTGAAGCTGCACAGACTCGCTGCTCCTGACCATCCGCAGGGTCCCGGGTGGGCGAGACCGCCGGTCTGCAGTGAGGTACAGACAGGCGTCCCTCTCCGCAGGCTGCAGTCGCCCGTGATGGTGGGGGGCTGGCATGAGATTGCGACACGGTTTCTTTTTATTTGCTTTTGCGGTGCAATCTTAGGAGAAATAATAAATGCGTAATAATTAATAAATAAAATAAATAGGAAATGTAGGACATATATTATGACGTCTGTAAAATGGAGAAACAAAAAAGTAGAANGTAGGAAGAGCAGGGGCCGGTCAGGACCGCGCGCACCGTGTGGCGCCTGCGGGGCCTCCCACTGCGCACCTGTCACGCAGGAGAAGGTCCGGAGACACGCGTGGGCTTTGAGGAACGTTGGATCAATAACGACGTTGTCAGCTGAAGAGCTTCCTGTTTTCTGTGCTTTCTTCCCGAGCCAGCAGGGCTGAGAACGCGCGTTTCCCACGGCGTCTGGAGGGCAGGCACCAGCGGCTGCGTCACCGCATCGGGCGCGGAAGGGACTGCGCCCCCAGCCCGTGGGTTCCTGTCAAAGCTCTAAAAGTCTTGACTGCTGATGAGCACACAGCGCAACGTGTGCTTGGGACGTGGAGACTTTTCCCTCTTCGTTTGATTGTGTTGTGTTGACCCAAAATAGACAGAATCCCTCAGCATGGTTAGACATCAGGACGCTAACACGACGTGGGAGCTGCGTTTCCGGACGGGCCACGGCCGGAGGACCAGGCTGTCGACCTCTCTGGCCCTGGGGACGGCCCCCAGAACCAGCAACTGGCGTCCACTCCCCCCGGCGTTTCTGCGGCCCCGGCTCGCCCGCCCGGCGCCCCTTCCCACGGTCTGCCCATCGGGACCCACTCGCACGCGCCCTGACAATGTGGAGGCGCGTCCTAGGAGGTGTCTGCACGCAGCGGACACTCGACAATGCTTGTTCACGTCGCTCGCTAGTGACAGACCCTGGGCCAGACGCTGACCACCGCGGAGCCCGAGGGGGCGGGGCTGCGGGCTGCGGGGACGGGCCTGAGGCGGCAGGGCTACCGGAGAAAAGGGTTCCTCTAAACGTCGTGGGAAGGAGCTCAGCACTTCTGAGTCACCCACCGAACAGAGCGGACAGCGGCGGGTGGGTTCAGAGCAAGGGGATCGTCCCGCGCGGCCTCAGGCGGCGTGAGAGCGGGCAGCCGGGGCCGCTGCCCCGGGGAACAAGGACGTTTCGGGCTGCATTCCAGTGAGGGCGTCAAGTATTATACCTCCCTGGCGGTCTGATTATGTCGGTAATTTTGTACCCAAAGCGGTACATTGTTTTGCATGGAAATTTGTTGCTTTATATTGTAGGCCTGTAATTCTTAGGAATTACTCACTTAAATCTGTCCAAACAAGAGTCTAGTAGGCATCCCAGGTATGATAAAGTTTGAAACACAAAATCATAAATTATAATATAATAAATAATTATAAAAAAATAGGGGTTACCGCTTCTGGCAGTAAAAATTAACCCCGAGCCACACTCGGGGTTACCGCTTCTGGCAGTAAAAATTAACCCCGAGCCACACTCGGGGTTACCACCAGGGTAGTTAAGGGTGGCTTTGCAGGCGTCCCCAGGCGGGTCCTTGCTGACCACTGCTTCCTGCAGGGAGGAAGGACCTTTGTCCTTATTTGGCCCTGTGGGCCCTGTCATGGTGACATGAGGTGGCGATTTTTCTTGGCTGCCATGCTAATAATATTATAATTAGCTAAAGGTCACCTGAGGGGCAAGATGTGTCCTGGACCTGCTTTCAGCCACTGGAGCCCAGTTCTGGCCGGTCTGGTAGCTGCACCTTTTCCTAAGAATGACCTCATCTCATTCCTTTGCCCCCCCCCATCTTCCTGTTCCCCCCCCACCCCCAGGTCCTGTTCTTTCTGCCTCGGGCAATGCCTGGATGGCTGGCAAATCATCCTTTCTGGACATATCTGTAAGGGTATTTCTGGAAGAGATTAGCATTTGATTCAGTAAACTGAGTAAAAAGACACCTTCCTCCCTTCCCAACTAGGTCTTTTTCTCCTCTATCTATTGGATTGGGGGTGGGGAGAAAAATGAAGCCCAATAAAAGGATGAATTCAGATCTTAATATGATACCAGTAACCTATCGCTTACAGAACAATCTCTTTAATTTTTTCCCTTCCAGAAATCCTCATAAACTTTATAGATTTTTTTATAGTTTTTTTCTTGTTGGACCTCCACTGTGATTATGCCCAACATGTGCAAGAAAGCTACTGAGAAAATGAAGGTTATCGTCTGTCACACAGTGAGTTTTTTGGGATCTAAGAAACTGACACAGGACTGAAGCAAAATGGGGCACTGACCTTACGCTTTAGTGATTATTTTGCCACCAAACTATTGAATTCCATCTTCCTTTATTGCCAAGTATCAATTAGAATCTATCGCATTAAGGAGACAGCTGAGATTTTGAAAAGGTCATATTGTGGCTACTTATGACCTTTTGTAAGAAAAAAAGCTCAGTAAGGTCAATGTAGTTACATTTTACCCAAGCATTTCCACGTACATGAAAATTTCAAGTTCCAATGCCTTCAGCACTTTGAATTTTTTTCTGGTATTTGTTGGGCTGTGGCATAAGTATGTGATGTTCAAAAGACAAAAGCATTTCCATGAGCTTGGGAACTTACTTCCTTCACCCCGAAGTTTAACTGCCCCTTTTCTAAAGGCATGAAGGTCAGGTGGATGACACCCTGAAAGGGCCCCGAGGTGGCTGTCACCTGCCTCTGACCCTTAGTCGCTGCTGCCAGGAGACCCTGCGCCCCAGCGCCGAGCCCGGGCCTTTCTCTGTGTCCCTGACCTGCTCCGTGGGAGGTGGCAGGACACCGAGAGGGGACTTCTACAAGCAGCTCACTGCTTATTTGCCAATTTTCTTCTGATATAAGATAAATTCAGAGTTAGAAATAGGGTGTTTTTTTTTGTTGTTATTCAGTGTGTTGAAAAAAATTTCCGACTGCTAGTTGTTAGGTTTATAAGAAATGCCATTTTAGAGTAATTTTCTAACATTAGTGTTTATAAGAAAGAAGGCAGAGGGGTGTCAAGTGCAGGACGTGTCCTGGGCTGGATGAAGTCCGCGCTGACGCCCCCGGGACCACGCGCCTCCCCAGCGCCCAAAGCACAGCGTTTCTTCAGCGTCTTTTTTGTATCATCAGTTTGTCTTGGTCACTTGGGGAAATTTATTCATTCGATTAATGAACTAATTGAGGTGTCATTCATAGCTAAACCCTGCCTATCTCTACCCAGGGCTGGAGTTTAGGGCTGTTCTCTTTGTCTTAGAATTTAGGTAAAATTGAGAGTGGGCGTGAGTTTGTGGGGGTATCCAGGGAGCTACACATGGGGGGGGCAGTTATGCACAGAAATGCATCCTTTTTCCATTCTGGAAGTTGAAAGTCCAGGTAAGGTGTGGGCAGGGCCGCTCCCTCGGGGGCTCTGCGGGCAGGTCCCCGGGGTGGGGGAGGACGGGTCCCCGGGGTGGGGAGGACGGGTCCCCGGGGTGGGGAGGACGGGTCCCCGGGGTGGGGGAGGACAGGTCCCCGGGGTGGGGAGGACGGGTCCCCGGGGTGGGGGAGGACAGGTCCCCGGGGTGGGGAGGACGGATCCCCGGGGTGGGGTAGAACGGGTCCCTGGGGGTAGGACGTGTGCCTGGAGGAGGACGGGTCATGGCTCCTGGTGGCACCACTCTGTTCTTTGCTGTGTCCCCATGGTGTTCTCTCTGCTTCTGTCTTGCTTTCTCATCAGGCAGTCATTGGATTCAGGTCCCCTGCCCCAGCATGGTGTCACCTACTTGATGACACCTGCAGCCTGCTTCCCGTGGGCCACAGTCACAGGTACTGGGGACTAGGACACATCTCTTTGGGGGACACAATCAACCACCAGAGGCAGCTCCCCTGTGACTAAGGGCGCCTGCTCAGGCCATCAGGACACACTGCCTGGAGCACAGCAGGGGACACGAAGGGTTCTGAACGCAGTGGGTGGCACAGGAGGACAGAGACCTGAGGAGGTCTCAGTGATGTGGGTGCCAGTCCCACTGCCGCCGTTTAGGGAGAAGGTGTGATGCCGCACAGTCCTGAACCAGCTTCCTTCTGCTGCCGTCCGACTGACTTCCGCGCACAGGTGCAGCCCTGCCGCGGGGTGACCCCATGGACCCGCCGCGTGACGCTGACGACCTGCCTTCACTTGGCTACTCCACGCGCAGGCCGCTGCGCTTCTCCAATCCTTCCAGCTCAAAGCGACGGCTTCTGCAACCACGATGCTGTTTGGATTTGCTCCAGACCCCCGACGGTTTACTTTCTAAGTCTTGTGGGTGTTTGCAGTAGTGACCCAGCTTGGTTTCAATGGAATAATACTTCATCAAACTTCGTTTGCAGCTGTCAATTTGCACTCTGCTGTACAATTATGTTTTTACGCACATTGTTTTTTAACTGAAACAAGTTTTAAGACCATTCCAGATAATGTGAATACTCAGAGCAGCATGACATTCACTGGTGACAGCTGTTGTTCTCAGAAGCTGACTGGCTGTGCAGGACGGATCGCGGCTTCCACTGCCTGTCGGAAGAGGGGGAGCGGTTCCAACAGTCCCGCGAGCCGTGCTCAGCCTGCACTGGGAAAGGCCGCATCTCTGCTGACGCAGAGTTTGGTGGGTCACGTGACGGGGGTTGTGGGGGGGCATCTGTTTTGGGGGGAGCCGGGCCTGCGACTTCCTCTCTGATTTCTTCCCGCCCACCTGGTAGCTGTGCTCTGGGCGTGACAGCACATTGTTAGTTACCGCAAACATGGGTCAGAAATGACCCCAAGTGTTTCATGTCTAAGCTGATATCACCATCATGACAGGCTTGTCAGATAAGGACACTTAGAAACAGCAAGTTAAGCAGTTTGGCAGAGGTTGTGCGTCCTGGAGTCACTTTCCACACCTTGTCGGTGTTTGGGTTTTCATCTGCAGGAGGCAGGCGTGGAGGGGCGTCCTGGCCATTGCTGGGAGCAGAAACCCCTGAGTGACATGCTCTTAGGCACCCAGCAGCTTCTGTGGGACGGGTTATTTTAGTCACTTGGCAGCGAGGACAGCGAGACTCAGAGAGGCAGGAACGTTGTCCAGGGCGACACTGGCCGGTGTCAGGGTGTGGCGCTCAGCGTGGCTGAGCCCAAAGGCTGTTACGTTTCCTCAGCCTCCCCTGCAGGTGGCCCTCCATGTCCCTCTAATTAGCAGACTGTCCCTTACGTTAGGTTTGATTCCTCTCAGAAGGCGATACACTGGCGACTCAGGCCTGACTCTTGCAGGTACAGCTTTCATCTGACTCGCTTCTCCCAAAACTCGGCAGACCCTTGTTACCGACTTGATCTTTGGGTCCTGGGTCAGTGTCAGCCCCTCCACCATGCCGAGGCTGGCCTCATGGGAGGGGACAGAAAGGCTGTGATTTCTGAGTCATCCGTCCAGTGGAGGGTCAGTTAGACAATGGAGCTGGTTGGGAGTCAGAGTGGGCTGTGAGTTGCACGGGGCTGCGGTGTCCTCTACGGGGCTGTTTGCGTGCAGCTTTACTCTCCTGGCCCGTCAGGGAGAGGGGTGGGAAAAACCAAGGACTTCAAGGGCACTTTCCCTGTTCCCTGAAAATGGCTTCCACTGGGGACAGCAGCCGTGCCAGGACCCGCCTGCAGAAGGGTCCCGAGCACCAGAAACTGTGTGACAACGTGGCTGGGCGTTTTGAGCTGCTAGTTGTTCCCCTTGTTCCCATGGCAACCCGCCCCAGGGTCCGCGGGCCGTGCTGCTGCCACTCCAAGGCTGGTGGCCCTCAAAGCAGCCCCATGAGTCCCTCTAACAGGTTAGAACAGGAAGGGAGGCTCGTGGGCTCCCCACACTTAGGAGCTGGTTACTGGGCAGTATCGGCTCACATATTTTTAGTGCATCGTTAAATTACAGTGGAATTCCCACCTCCACTCAAGCAACCATGGGCTCATCCTCAGCACATCAGTGGGCTGGGCGGCCTGGGCACCTCCTTCCCCTGCTATGTGGGGTGTCTGCTGTTGTCCTGGGGCCACAGACAGAGACCAACGCCCCTGGGAGTGTACGGGGCACCCAAAGCCTGCTGGTGACTGTCCTGAGTGTCTGATGTGAAGGTGAGTCTCTGGGGCCCAGAAAGCATCCTCCCAAGGAAACCACAGGTCACCACGGCCTGGGAGCCTCAGACTGAGCACAGCGCATGCCCCGTTTCTCGGTTGCCTTATGTCTGCCGCTCACCTGTGGGCTGATCAGGGCTCCCTCCCTATGAGCGGTTTCAGATTCACTCTGATGTGCTGAACAAAACAAGCTGCGTTTAGGGTTCTTAGATGTCTTCTCCTGGGGCTCCTTTCATTCTTTATGGCTGGATCTGCAGGCAAGGCAGGAACGGTCACCGCAGGTGTGAATTAGAGAACCTACGTGACTCGGAGGCTGCTAATCGGAGGCTGCTAATCTCACGCTCACCCTGCACAGGAAACACATCTCTGTGGGTTCACTTATCAGGTGACAGGAAACACGCCTCTGGGGGTTCACTTATCAGGTGACGGCACGAAGAGGACAAAACGACTTCTGTAACGTTTCTTACACAGAGCTTGGTCTGTGGTATTCAGACTGATCTACGGTGATGTGAGAAGAAACATAGCCCTTCTCTCGCACAATTATCCTCCAATATCCTCCAATTGGAGATTCCTACTCCTCTGTGAGTCCTCAAACGTTCCCCCAACTGAGCCATTTTCCACATTTTTAGAGCAACTTCCAAGTGGCATTCTCAGAAGGAAAAAAGGATTAAAATTAAAGAATATACTTTTATTCCAATAAGAGAGTTTAACCCAAGGAAAAAGAACTAGCTGATTAAAGGTCGAACTCAGCGTGCACAAATCTTGGACAAAAGGCTGCACCAATTTCCATAAAACACTCCAGTTGCTGTGTCTGTTCAGGGTCCAGCTCTCACTTGGCAGCTGTCCCCACGGTGACCCTGGCACCCGTGTTGGGTCGGCTGGGCGCCTCTGGTTTCCCCCCTTCATCCCCTCTTGTTGCTTCTGCTCATGGAAACTTCCAGCAGCTTTGCAAAGGAGGTGAGAGGGCCAGCAGGAGTCGGGTCCCCTTAGGGCAGTCCTTGTCACTGTGGGGTGGGGACATGTGCTCATTAGCGTCCTTTCAGAGTGCCATGTTCATGCGTGGTCATCTTGTTCTTCAATTATTGCTTGAAAAATCACATAATTACCAAGAGACATGACATTTTAATCACAAATTTTATGATTACAGTGGCTGAATTTCAATAAATCTTAAGGAATGTCACAGGAAGATGAATGCATTGTCTAATCTACAGTACGAGTTTGCAGTGAAGAGAAATGATAGTTTATTCTCGATACAAACGCCCCTCCACACAGGTACAAATGTGGTTCTGCATGGTTAGTGAGTGTATGGACGACTGATAAATCAGCAATGGGTGAAGACACACATTTTCCACTGACAGCGGGTGAATCTGATTATGTAGAAGCAGGAAAGTGAACAAGGTATTTAGACCAAATGCACTGGTCATTAATTAGAAGGCCAGTTGGATACATCATTTTCTTTTTGACAAAATCCAGGTTTCTGAAGCTGACTTCCATGTCTGGGCTGCAGCAGCTCCAGGACGCTCTGGAATCACCCACAAGTTTCCTTTTCAGTCTGTTTACATGGGATTTTTCTGAAGAAAAGGTCCAAATCCTTACCTCCTCAAAGTGTCCATGGCACCTAGAAGGTGAGAAAACTGAGCGCATTTCCTGGTCCCCAGAGCTCTGATGTTCTCACTCTCACTCTGGTCCTTTCTGTTACGATGTGGCTCTTCAAACAGAGGAGCAAAGCTTGAGCCTCATCTATGGGGACAGCCCCATCCGCTCGCTTACAAAACAACAGAAACATTTTTTATTCCCCAAGTTTTTAAAGGGCTTTTCTACTCTGTGGCTGTTGCTCCTACGAGTGTAAATGAGGTATGAAATGAGACATTCCAGCCCGCTCGGCAGAGGGACGTGCAGCGTGTCTTCCAATTTCAGCTTGGCTCTGATACTAGACTGTTCTGAAGGAATTCACCAGTGGCCGTTTCCTTTACTTCAGGAAGGAAAGCTCTCCTGTGTCATGATTCAGTGCGAGGCATTGCAGTTAACGCAGGAGGGAAGGAGAGAAAAGTGACCCTTTGAGGGTTCCGGGAATCGCCTGGGGTTTTCCCCGCGGTCACGATCAGCACCATGGACAGAAACACACCGGCCACTTGGAGCTGCGACGGCCCACAGCAGGGGTGTACGCTGAAGGGTGAGTAGATGTTAATTTATTTCTTTAAACAAAAACTTTAGAAATATACTATTCCCACTGAGAATTTGTAACAAGACTATTCCATTCCTTATTTGGCTCCAGTTTTGATATTCGAATACAATTTGAATTTCATTCCATTATTTTTGTGTTAAGTTCTCCTTAAGAATATTCCATGATCACCTTAGAATCTGATGAGTACCGAGTTCTCTCTTCAGCTATGCATAACTTTTCTATAGTAATTTCCACTTATGTTTAATGAATTTGGGGCAGTTCTGTTAAAAATAAACTCCTATTAAGGCCCTTTCAGAATTGCATAAATTCTTGGTTCACACTTTGAAATGTCTGCATTAATTTCCCTTTACATTCCAATCGTATTGTCACTTTTTATTCATCCATGTGACCATTTCTTGAAGTTTTTTGTCCATCTAAACTTCTATTAAAATTAGTGACCGAAGACTTCATTTTTCCCCTCCTGACTCTTTCCCCTTATTCCTGGTTTAGCTACTTCCCACTCATGATCAGGGTATCAGTGCCATCTATACTGTTTTAGAAACTCCTATTAAATGTGTCATAAACTAATTAATCCAGAAGTTAAAAAACTAGGAAATGCAACAAGAGCACGGCCTGTAATTCTGTGTTGGCCCTGGGTGTGTGCGAACTCCGACACCTGCAGTGTCTGTGCCTCACGCGTGGATGCACATTTCACTGGCTTGACTGAGTCCATCAACTCAGTAAGGTGGCTGCATTTTGTGTGAAAGAAAAACAGCCAAATGAAGTTTATATTATCAAGAGATCCATCTAGCATGGAGCCGGCGCCTCTGGGGAGCTGAGCTAACTCTCCCTTTCCTGTGAAACTGAACTTTTGAACTGGGCGAACCCTCAGCCACAACAAGGAAACTGGTAGGATGGAGGGAGGCCAGTTTGGAAACACTCTGCTTCTGCACCATTTCCACGGCAACAAACATGGCTTTGTACTCTGGCTCTTTCTCCATCTTATTTAGTTCCAAACTTAAGACTCACATCAGGGCCTCTGGCTGGCAGTGTCTACACCACACGG